TTTAATTCCCCGTTTTTCATGGTGTTGATCAATAAATAACCACTATTTACTTTTTGTTTTAAATTTTAAAATTTCTACCGAAGAACTAGGAAGCCAAATTTTCTAAATTCACATGAGTGTGGATTAAGTTATTCTGGAAGAATAAAAATTCAAATTGGTTTAGATATAAACGCTAATGCTATGTTCATACTGTCGTGTGATGCGTTACGATTGGATTGTCCCTATTGTGTCCATGATCTGGTACGTGCAGATACGCTCAGATACGTTTTGATACGATCAATTACTCCACAATTAAAACCACGATTTCAATTGTAGCACAAATCGTGATAGTGGCAACCTAGCATTAAGAAAACAACAGAAGAAACATTTCAAACATCTCGGTAGAAAAGACTCTTAGTTAAAATTTGAAAACATCAGTGGAATATTCATCTGGAAACACATGGGTGGGCCCCGAGACAAAAAATGAATATAAAAAAACGTCTGATATTTCATGTACATGAAAAAATCTCCAATATGAGAACATGTGATAATTGGGTGACTAATTTCAAGCGTGTAATTAAAGATGAACCCTTTTCCCTGAAGCATGAATGAGTAGGATGTTTAATACAAAAAAAAAAAAATTTCACGGCAAGATAACAACATAAATATTGATTGAAATGACCAATATTGAATTTCGATTCATGTTCTTACTTTCACATATTATGGATAATATTGAATTAGTGGTTTAGCTCCTTTAAACCATTCGACAATGAATAATATTAAGTTAGTGGTTTAGCTCCTTTAAAACGTTCAACCATGGATAATATTGAGTTAGAGGTTTAGCTCCTTTAAATCATTCGACCATGGATAATATTGAATTAGGGGTTTAGCTCCTTCAATACAACAGTATGGTATAAAAGTGTCATATTGAAAACATTATATAAAATACTAAAATCACAGAAAATAGCTTATTACTATCTAGAGTTTAAATTTCATATAATTTTAACATAAACATGAAGATCAAAAAAACATGATAAACATTTAAATAAGCAACAAATAATAATTATACTGATGATCATTAAACAAGTTTGAGATGAGCGTAGGTAGACATATTATCAAATAGTCTAATAACAAGCAAACTATAAAACAATTAAACAACTTTCATCTATATTCTGGGATAACTACATGTAGAAAATTGTCTGATATATAAATATACCTATATAGTACTTCTATTTTCACTGTAGTTAAATACATAAAAAATACAATCTGATTAAAACACAGATCTATATTTCCTTTCGTATTTTTATACTTTCGATGGCCTCTACTACACATGAAGAGCTGACCAGCTGTAGCGAAAAGTCGCGTCAGAGGTCATACAAGTGCCTTTTGACCTACGATGTCAGACATTTGATTAACCAATCAGCATTGAGGTTACGAGTGGATTACCCACAGTTCCGTGCAAAACACACCTAAAGCTCGCCGTAACAGACCGTTTCATTGGCTAATCACTCATCATCCAGAACACGTCAATGATAACAACTCTTCCAGATCCTAGTGTAGTAAAGACAAGTAAAACAAAATTTTGAACTATAAAAAACGAAACGAAATAGGATCTGTGTTTTAATCAGATTGATAAAAAATATGTCCTGTTAAAACTTAACCATTTTTTAATCGTATCATATACATGTATGCATTACAAGATTAGCTGAAGGTGGATACATGTAGTTTATTATTTTATTACAAGATTAGCTGAAGGTGGATACATGTAGTTTATTATTTTAAAAAAATAGAATTCAAGTAGAGGACGATAGTTTATTATTTGATGAATATCAGAATGAACAAGTAACATTAATTGATTCTTTAAAAAAAACTACCACCACATTTTTAAAAGTTTATTTATATACTGTGAACATACATGTATAGAAGAGAGAGAGAGAGAGAAATGGGGTTTAACGTCCACATGACACAAACTAGGTCATTTCGGGACTAACATATGGTTTAATTTTATTTACATAATTCGCTTGCGCGTAGGGGTCTTTAGCAGTGGGAGGAAACCGGAGGACCCGGTGAAAACATGTATAGAAGTACTGGTACTTGATCATATACTTTCACCTATAAACTTGTATCCATTATAATTCATAACATCTCTAGAGACTCAATTTAGGACCGACAGCCAGCTTATGAAATGAAATGAAATGAAATGAAATGAAATGGAGTTTAACGTCCTACTGTTCTGCTCCTAACCTGGGCTAATGAAGACGGGCATACGCCATACAGTGTGCTATGAGGGAAATTTTGCCCGGACAGCGGCACTACGGCCTACTCTTATATCGAATTCCAACTGCCAAGGGATCTTTTACGTGCACGCCAATGTGTACACGGGACCTCGGTTTTTCGTCCCATCCGAACGACTAGACAGCTTTCCTTGTCAGCCCCTCCGTCCTGCATCACTGACAAGGGAGAACCATGCCGGAAAATCTGGATGAACTTTCTCGGCTAATGCAGGGATCGAACACCCGACCTCCAGGCTAGCGAGCTAGCGTCTTACCCACTTAGCCACGTGATCCCCAGCCAGCTTATGATCTGGTTGATTATTTTAACTGGACAGATTATTTTTTTTTATGTACCCAAAGCCCCAAGACAGCAAAAAGTACTTTAAAATGTTATTAACAAGTGTTGATATCATTTAGCGTGAAACAAAGTAGTGTAGCTTTACGGTTGTGTTAATATTTTATGAATAACATACAGCTATATAATGGTACTAAAAATAAAATAAGGCTCAGAATTAATGTTTTGAGCAAAGAATTACAATAAACTGGTCACACTAGTGGATTTATCCTGAGAGAGAGAGAGAGATCGGGTTTAACGTCCACTCGACACAAACTAGGTCATTTCAGGACTAACATATGGTTTAATTTTATTTCAATAATTTGCTTGTGCGTGGGGGTCTTTAGCAGTGGGAGGAAACCAGAGTACCCGGAGAAAACACACAAGGTTGGACAGGCGACCCTACTCCTTGTCACGTACAACCGGGGAATTGAAACCGGGGAATTCTTGTCTTAAAGGATAAATCGACTAGTGTGACTCAGCCTTAAGTATGTGTTACAGCTAGATCTATCCAGTTACTACATGCCTCTACTAGATGTAGATTATCTTTAACTTTGACTGATCAGTCAGTCCTAGCTTCTTCTATCTTAAATATAAAATATATTTTGGTCTTTCTGCGATTAATACACAGTTATTTGTTTTCTATGGTCACACATGCAATGCTCTACTCGTCTATGAATTCCATCTGTGTTCTTTTCAATGCACCCCGATTTGTCCAAAAATGGTGGACACACTATCTTCTTCAGCCACGGATCTGCTACTCTAATAAGGAGGAACCAGGTCCTTCTCGGCCATCGTCAGGTTTCAAACATGGAGTTCAATGTCCTATCGCTCCACTACCCAAACCCACAATTAAAGAAAAAGAAAATGGGGTTGAACATCCACTTGATAAAAACCATATGGTTGAATTTTATTTCATTAATTCGCTTGCGCGTACAGTCTTTATCTGTGGGAGGAAACCGGAGGACCCAGAGCAAACCCACCACGCTGATACTTCAATCATACATGTGTACCTACATGTACAAACATATTAGCCTGAAGAATCTAACTCTTTCCCTAACCTTTAAATTTATACAAAACTCTTAAAATAATTATGATTATTACAGCATATTTATAGTGCGCCCTTTCACATAACATGTTCAGGGGCAATTTACAAAGTGACAATGCAATCTTATGTCTGATGTACATGTATCAGGTTTCTACTAGAAATCAACACATATTTAACTAGGATAATTCAACATATGACTATATACCAGTCCTGTGTTCACAAGAAATTTTGCCCGGACAGTGGCGCTACAGCCTACTCTTCTATCAAATTCCAACTGCAAAGGGTTCTGTTACATGCAAACCAATATGTACACGGGACCTTGTTTTCCATTCCATTCAAACAACTATACTTTGTCCCTTGCCATGCCCTCTGTCCTGCACTAATGAAAGAATGGAATCTTCTTTACATACAACAATTCCTGATGATTTGATTTGTTGTCAATGACAACCAGAATGAATCAAACACTTTTCTTTAACACAGAACTGGTAATTTGTTTCTCAACTGACTGGTTGGTCTTAATGAACAAATGAAATATCCTGAATATCTGGACCAGAATAGTACTGACCTTGGTCTGTGAAGAGAGAGAGAGAGAGAGAGAGAGAGAGAGAGAGAGAGATGGGGTATATTGTCCAATGACACAAAATAGGTCATTTCGGGACTAGCATATGGTTCAATTTAATTTTAATAGGGGTCTCTAGCAGTGGGGGGGAAACCAGAGGACCAGGAGAAAACCCACAAAGTTGGGCAGAGGGGAATTGAAACCATGCCACTCGACTCAATTACAGACCTTATGATCTAAAGCACACACATTAACCCATTTGGCCACTCAATCCCCTGTCTATATTTAATAGACATATAATCATAGACATTTGACTCAATAACAGACCATTTGCCCACCCAACTCCAGCGTCTATATTTAATAGACATATTATTATAGTGGTTATTGTTCTCACAATGACAACTTATATTAAATATGGATTATATTCGATGAACGTCACACTAATCCTTGAATATTTGTTTTAAATACAGATATGATGAATGTCGCACTAATCCTTGGATATCTGTTTTAAATACAGATAATTCTTGAATATCTGTTTTAAATACGGATAATTCTTTAATATTTGTTTTAGATACGGATAATTCTTGAATATCTGTTTTAAATATGGATAATTCTCGAATATCTGTTTTAAATATGGATAATTCTTGAATATCTTTTTTAGATATGGATAATCCTTAAATATCTGTTTTAAAAGAGGATAATCCTTGAATATTTGTTTTAAATATGGATAATCCTTGAATATTTGTTTTAAATATGGATAATCCTTGAAAATCTCTTTTAAATACAGATAATCCTTGAATATCTGTTTTAGATACGGATAATCCTTGAATAACTGTTTTAAATAGGAATAATCCTTGAATGTCTGTTTTAGATACGGATAATCCTTGAATAACTGTTTCAAAATTTATAAATCCATAATAACAAAACAGCTTCTTCATTTTTGAAAGATGTTGATTTGTTACTGTTCCATTTTGAATAACCATCACCACCGCTGACCACAATAACGGAATTTGTCGTCGATTTATGTAGAGTTTTCGTCGATAACACTACTGTTTTATTTTTTTCCTCTCTGATTTCTTGTGTTAACTTTCTCTGAGATTTAGTCTCAGTCTTTTTGGTCATTGTCTGGCTAGTTTCATTTATTTCATTTTGCGAACCGGAAGAGTTACTTCCTCTTGCATCCATGGTGACCATTTTAGCCGTTTCCGTTTCGCTGTTATCTGATGTAAGTAAAGTTTCGTACAACATTTGCACTTCTCGCTCCTGGGAATAAAGATCCGGATTTGACGAAGAAGCGTCCCGTGAAGATATCTTTTCCGCTAGCTCCGTTCTGAAAGACATTCTCTTTGGTCTTGCTGGCATCGTTGCATGTTTTGAATCCGAAGAACGTCTCATTACGACTTTTTCTGAATCCACAGATTGATTTTCTGCAGAACCGTTTTGTGCAGAACTGTTTGGAGTTGTTTCATTTTTATCGCTACTAGAAGCGTCTGCAATACGTTCACTGATTACTTTTAATTTTCTCGGTCGAATTGAGGATCGGAAAGAACTTTTCTTTTCTAAATGTGCCACACTCGTTGAACAATAAATGGGAATGATGAATTTAACAGGGAAATTGTGACCGTGATAAGACACATTAGGTCGACTGTTTACTAACGGAACACCATCACGTAACCTAGGTAACGGTAATGTTAGTATAAAACCCAGACTTGTACCAATCCACAACATACCTCTACCAGCTGCTAAACATGTCACAGAACAATGTTTTGTAGAATCTGGTGTTAAACCTTGTGGTTTCTGGTGCTCTGATAAAAAAAAAAAATTTAAAAAATGTAATTAAGGATGCTTTATGTAAGATTTAGATAAAGAGAGAGAGAGAGAGAGAGAGAGAGAGAGAGAGAGATGGGGTTTAATGTCCACTCAACACAAACTAGCTCATTTCGGGACTAACATATGGTTTAATTTTATTTAGCAGTGGAAGGAAATCGGAGGACCCGGAGAAAACCCACGAGGTTGGACAGGTGACTCTACTCCTTGTCACATACAACCAGGGATTTGAAACCACGCCAGTTGACTCAATGACAGACTTCATGATACAGCGCGCACACGCTAACCATTCAGCCATCCACCCCCCTTTAGATAAAGAGCTGTCAGTTCTCGGTATAAAAGTTTATAAATAGATTATGAAAAAGGAAAATATTGAAAATTTTCTTTCAAATATTCTTATTATGAATGTTGGAAGTTACATAAGAGAGAAATGGGGTTTAAATTCCACTGAACACAAACTAGGTCATTTCAAGAGATAGAGAGAAATGGAGTTTAATGTCCACTTGATACAAACTCGCTCATTTCGGGACTGACATATGGTTATTTCAATAATTTGCTTGCGTGTAGGAGTCTTTAGCAGTGAGAGGAAACTGGAAAACACAAGAGCGACCGAACTCATTGTCACATAAAACCTGGGAATCGCAACCACGCCACTTGACTCAATTCAAGACCTCACAATGTCACCACTGTTGCGATAATAAACAAAGTCTTGAGTATCCACTTTAAAATCCAATTAATAAAAGGCGATCGTGTTTGAATCCACTGAAAATCGGAACAATCCAATGGTCTGAAGAGTTGATTATGGGTTTGTCATGTTAATAAATGTCTTATTAATAATCTATATAATATTTTAAGGCAGGACACTACCTAAGAATTTTACATTGATAACAGAAACTTGCCATTTAGTGTAAAATTAGTATATGATGTCCCAAATCAGATTTGATAATTTGAGCGCAAAATGTTTATTTGTTGTCATGGAAATGGTGGCCATATTGGATTTTTTTATATATTCACGGTGGCTATGTTAGGAAATCAAAATCTTCAACAATTTTATTGAAACAATTTGGAATAACATATATAGGCATTAAAGAGTGCAATAAGGCATAAATTTTACTATTTGATGAATGTTAATAAAGAACATTATGCATCCCACATAAAACAAGTGGGTGTGGCCGAACACACCAGTAAAAGGATTTTGTACAATAAAATGTCCAAATGTATAACAAACACTTTGAAAATCACCTTATTGCAAACAGTAGCTATAGCACTAATCGTATTCCAAAGATGAGACCATTATCTCTCATAGATTTTGAGAATTTGATTTTCTAAGACCTGATATGGGTGAAAAATTGAGTACGGAAAAAAGCAAGTTAAAAGTTAAAAATTTGATTTACCTATACAAATGACTAAATATTTAACACTATATAATATAAAGGCTGGACACGACTTGAAAAATCAACAAATTTTTACTATTTTGGGCAATTTTAGCTGATATCAAAATTTGACAGATCAATCTATACAGAGTGTTTTATAAGGTAGTGTCCTACCTTAAGCTAAAATCAAGATCTTTAAGAATACTTATGTTCATGTAGCATTATAAATAGAATTATAATTTTACACTACGCTGTAATTCAAACAACTTTCTGTCAGGAACAGCCTGATATAGCCATCTGATTAAAACACAGATCCGATTTCGTTTCTTTTTTTATAGGTCAAAATTTTGTTTTACTTGACTTTACTACACTAGGATCTGGAAGAGTTGTTATATAACCCGCGTTCTGGATGATGTAAGGGATTAGCCAATGAATAGGTCTATTATGGCGAGTTTTTGGCAAGAGGTGCACAGAACTGTGGGTAACCCACTAAGTCAATGCTGATTGATTAATCATACGCTCGTATGAACCCTAACTCGACCTTCCACTACAACTGGTCAGATCTTCATGTAGTGTAGGCCATCGAAAATATAAAAAAAAACAAACGAAATATAGATCTGTATTTTAATCAGATTGGACAGATAGTTCTCGACGACTCTCCCCCCCCCCCCAACCCATGTTAGCCATAAGAAAAAGGTATGTTACCTGTGAAGTAATCCCTTAATCCCTTGTAAATTTTACGTACCTATAAGTTTAGCTATAGGTGATGCTATGTTAATCTCTTGTAAAGTTTCTAACGTCTCTATGTGATATAGTCGAATAAATGCTCTGTTTTTAAACGATACCCAGATACCCACACCAGCTCTCGCTATCTGATCTATTGGTGCCATATTATCTGTTGTAAACACATACTTCATCTAAATAAATATAAAATATAATTTAATAAATAACCTCAAAAATATAATAAATAACCTCCAAAATACAATAAATGATTTATAAAATATAATAAATAACAACCAAAATATAAAATATAATTTAATAAATAACCTCTCCACTGTAATTTAATAAATATAATAAATAACATCCAATATAAAATATAATAATTAAGCTACAAAATAACCCCTCCACTATAAAATGTAAAAATATCCTCAAATACAAAATATACTAAATAATCTCCAGTATAAAATACAATAAATACCCCAAACTCTTCGCTATAAATAACCTCCAATATAAAATATGATATATAGCCTCCAATGTAAAATATGATAAATAACCTCCAATATAAAATATAATAAATAACCTCCAATATGAAATATAATAAATGACCTCCAATACAATAAATAACCTCCAATATAAAATATAAAAAATAACCTCCAATATAAAATATGATAAATAACCTCCAATATAAAATATGATAAATAACCATCAATATAAAATATAATAAATAACCTCCAATATGAAATATAATAAATGACCTCCAATATAATAAATAACCTCCAATATAAAATATAATAAATAACCTCCAATATAAAATATGATAAATAACCTCCAAAATAAAATATGATAAATAACCTCCAATATAAAATATAATAAATAACCTCCAATATGAAATATAATAAATGACCTCCACTATAATAAATAACCTCCAATATAATAAATAACCTCCACTATAAAATATGATAAATAACCTCCACTATAAAATATGATAAATAACCTCAAATATATATATATATATATATATAAAAATAACCTTCAATATAAAAAATGACCTCCAATATAAAATATAATAAATGACCCCCAATATAATAAATGATAAATAACCTCAAATATAAAAAAATAAAATAAAAAATAACCTTCAATATAAAATATAATAAATGACCTCCAATATAAAATATAATAAATGACCCCCAATATAATAAATGACCCCTAAATGAAATATAGTAAATGACCTCCAATATAATAAATATCCTCCAAGATATAATATAATATTTAACCTTGCGACTAACCTTGACTTGTAAAGTGCTAATATCAATAAGATGAACAGTTCCACCACAAGCTACCCATAATAACCCATCAATATCCAATATAGTTTTAATAGGTGCCGTGCCTAATTCTATAACAACAGGAGTATCAAAATTCCACACACCATCTACAATAAATAATACAAACAGTCCAGCATATTAATGTCATTTAAGGGCGTGAATAATACCTTGCAAACTATAATGTTGTGACTAGGTGCAGATCGTAGAGGATTATAAATGATGAAAATTTTTTCAATAAATCACTTATTTGTAAATACTGAAAGGAATTTCACTATTTTTGGATTTAAAATCCTATTAGAGATCCAACTTTCATAATATTATTATCATCCGAGCTGACGGACTTTTGTTTGTATTCTTCAATTGTGGATCACGTTGGCTAAGTGGGTAAGATCCTGGTTTGCTAGCCTGGAGGTCGGGTGTTCGATCCCTGCATTGGCTGAGAAAGTTTATCCAGATGGGACGAAAAACTGAGGTCTTGTGTACACATTGACGTGCACATACAAGATCCGTTGACAGTTGGAATTTGATATGAGAGTAGGCCGTAGTGCCGCTGTCCGGGCAAAATTTCCCTCATAGCACACTGTATGGCGTGGAGAGAGATGGGGTTTAATATCAATTCGACACAGACTAGGTCATTTCGGGACTAACATATGGTTTAATTTTATTTCAATAATCCGCTTGCGCATAGGGGTCTTTAACAGTGGGAGGAAACCGAAGGTTGGACAGGCAACCCTACTCCATGTCACGTACAACCTGGGAATTGAAACCACGGCAGTTGACTCAATGACAGACCTTATGATACAGTGCACACATGCTAACCATTCGACTATCCGACCCCCCAATACAGTAAACAACTCTAGTTGTGTGGATACACTGACTTCTAATTCTAGAAATATTCACATACTTTTTGATTAAAACAAAATTACGTAATATTTGAATTGATCTAAAAGTCAGTTTATCATTACAACTCTATCTGGTCAGGTATGTAAGTTTTACAACTAAATATCCTACAAACATTATGAAGAATGATTTGGTGTCCTTTTGTCTTCTAAAATGTTGGATAATATTCCAGCAAGAGAAAGAAAGATGGGGTTTAAAATATGGTTAAATTTTATTTTAATAAATCACTTGCACATAGAGGTTATATGCCAATCGGAGGAGGAAACTGGAGAATCCATGGACAACCCATGCGTTATATAATATCATTATTATTATATAAATATAGAAATGGAAGAACGTACCTTCGTCTGTCTGATAAACTAGAACTGTTCCTGATTTTAAACCACAGAAAACCTTTTCAGCAACATAGACTAGTATACAAGGTTGATGTGGTAATGATAATTGATGTATTGGTCCTCTCTTCATACCATCGTCATGGGTTAAACTATATACTATAAGTCTACAAAACAATACCAAATATATAAAAACATACGCCCACAGCAGCTAAGTCGTCTGGGTGGTCAACAAGGGTTGTCGCATATGAAATCATTTACAACACATTAAAATCTGATAATGAGTAACATTCCATTAAATAATTATCTGAAATCATTAGAATTTGTTTTGATTGTTTGTCTCATGACCTTAAGACACTGTTTATAAATTTATACGAACTTTAGCCTCTAGAGTTTCTACAAGATTTTTCAAAGAGATCAAGGGCCATAACTCTGGCAGTAATTATCGGAAATTGTTGAAAATCAATAGGATTCTTCATGGCATGATCTTAAACACTGTGTATAAATTTAAAGTCAATTTAGAGTTTCTACAAGATTTTTCAAAGTGATCAAGGACCATAACTCTGGCAGCAATAATCAACAAGTTTTCGAGCACACTTGTCAAAACGTGTTGCTAAATGCCAATCAAGGATTACCAAATATGCAGTTTTATAACGATTTTACTATGTCGTACATTATTTAGGGTTAAGCCTGTCTGAGTTCAAAGAGAGTTTAAAGAAGGCAAGTCGCTAACTCAGTAAAAACAGAAACGATTAATGTAAATCAGTTCACACCTGGAAATTGACACAAATGGGATGCAACCCATATAATAATGATATATGAATGTATAGAAACTGATTTACTTTCTGTTTTTACTGTGATTTCGGCGAAATATGCGATGAGTCTGAATAGAATGGCAGTCTTTGGCATCTGGTTATTCCAGGATACACCATTAGTGTTCTACTACACGGGATATGTTTAGCCTCGTTCATCAAGTTGCTTCATTACAAATGGCACTCAGAAGCATTCCAGCAGGCGATTCTTGTGCCAAGTTTAAAATTTTCATTTTGTCTTAAATATTGGATATCAGAAGCCCATCTTTTCACGGTAAGATAACACATGAATGTTGATTCAAATTGACCAATAAGTCGTGCTTACAATAATGTCGAAGACAAGAGCGAGAGAGAGAGAAATGGGGTTTAACCACCACTTGACACAAACTAGGTCATTTCGGGACTAACATATGGTTCAATTTTTTATTTCAATAATTCGCTTATGCGTAGGGGTCTTTAGCAATGGGAGGAAACCAGAGGACCATGTGAAAACCCACGAGATTGGATAGGCGACCCTACACCTTGTCACGTACAACCGGGGAATTAAAACCAAGCCAGCTGACTCAATGACAGACCTTACGATACAGCACATGTGCTAACCATTCGGCCCCCCTCCCCCACGAGGTTGGATAGAGGCGGCCCTACTCCTTGTCAAGTACAACCGGGGAATCGAAACCACATCTGTTGACTCAATGACAGACCTTATGATACAACGCGCACACGCTAATCATTCAGCCATCCAACCCTTGTAACACTATAGATGATATTTAGCTAGAGATTTTAAGGTAAACTTGACTTACTCTTTTATTATTACTTTCATCTATAACTAATTACTGTATCTACATATATATTTATTTATTATGTTGTTACTGTCAGGACTGATTGCTCATGGCTCTTGTACTTATCTATACCAATTACAGTTTATAACCATCTATGTACACTTGTTTATTTAACGGCTTTGGACAGATACTCATGCTTGCTGATTTTGCATCCCATTGGAGGGTTTGCACTGCTCTTGTATATATATAACCATACCATATTCTTTTCATTTTATTTATTTGTGTTATATGCTTGATAATGACTTGTGAAATCTTGTTGAAACGTCGCAGTGAAATAACTATAGTAACTGTTATCCATAAATAGTGTGTTATTTGATTATGAACCAACAACTAAATGCCATTCAAAGAATATTGACTTACTGAGGTTTGACAGTTGCTATCCAGACGGTATCTTCAACAAACGATTTACTCGTACTCTTCTCACCGCTCCCTAGACCGGGTACAGATACCATACATTCTATCTCTACATCTGTGGCTTTAAACGCTTCCGTTAAACATGGTTTAGGATTATGTATGGATATCACTGATACCTGCCCTCGATCTGTATTTGATGAACAAACCCACAGGTGTTGTACACCAAGATCTACACTTGAACTAGATGGTATGAATACAGGTACAGCACATTTTACCTACAATATATATATATATCATCAGCATCAGAGTGAGATCAAGAAAATTAATTGAATGGAGGTTTAACATCCTACTGTTCTGCTCCGACTGGGCTAATGAAGACGGGTATATGCCATACAGGGTGCTATTAGGGAAATTTTGCCCAGACAGCGGCCTACTCTTATTTTAAATTCCAACTGTCAAGGGTTCTTTTATGTGCACGCCAATGTGTACACGGGACCTCGATTTTTCGTCCCATCCAAACGACTATACAGTGTCCCTTTCCAGGCCATCTGCCCTTGGCCATTATGAACTTTCTCGGCCAACGCAGGAATCAAACACGGGACCTCCAGGTTAGCGAGCGAATGTCCTACCCACTAAGCCACCATGGCTCCAAACCAGCCAGTCAAGCCTCTGCTATTCTTTTAAGAGGAGTGTTGCCATTCCCCCTCTCGTTTATATAATTTAGAAGATATAAAACATGAGACCATATTGTTTACCTTTGTAAAATTACGTGGAACATCTACAGATAAAGCTCTCATGAAATAAGCTGGTGTACTGCTCTTCTCTTCACTGTTCTGTCCCATTTCCCAACCAGGATTATTACATTTATCTATAAATACATACACAGACAATATATAATATATACAGTCAATATATAATATATACAGTCAATATATAATATATACAGTCAATACAGTCAATATATAATATATACAGTCAATATATAATATATACAGTCAATATATAATATATACAGTCAATATATAATAGTTTATCAATATATAATAGTTTATCAATATATAATATATACAGTCAATATATAATGGTTTATCAATATATTGAACAGAACGTTTTATAGTGAACTTACCTAAGGCTAATTTAGCCATTAAGAAATCGACACACCATTCATGTTTTAAGTTGGGTGTAGGTGTTTGAAATACATACTTCGTTTTACTGTTAAAATAAAATAAAATGTCACTTCCAACATCGTACAGAATCATTCAAGAGAGAGAGAGAGAAATGGGGTTTAACGTCCACTCGACACAAACTAGGTCATTTTGGGACTAACATATGGTTCAATATTATTTCATTACTTTGCTTGAGCATAGGGATCTTTAGGAGTGGGAGGAAGCTGGAGGACCCAGAGAAAACCCACAAGGTTGGACAGTTGACCCTACTCTTTATCATGTACAAGCGGGGAATCGAAACACCTCAGTTGACTTACTGACAGACCGTATGAAACAGCGCGCACATGCTAACCATTCGGCCATCCAATCCCCAGAAAATTCTATTGAAATTGTCAACAAAGATACTGATTGTGCATGATCGGTGGTTTTAAACGTTTAGCATACTTTATCAAGCAACTTTGTTTTGCTGTTGTAATCATCAAAGACTGACACAGATTTAATCTCTACCTTTATTTTCTAGTATAAATAAACTTACTTGACACTACCTTTATCAGCTAGTATAAAAGAACAGCTATTAACTAATCTCAACTGTTCATCTTTTATTTGTATCATTTTCTGTAAATCTTTGGTTATTTCATGTAATAAATCTTCTGATAAACCATAACCCTACAAAAATAAAATGGGGTTTAACGTCCTACTGTTCTGCTCCTATCGGGCTAATGAAGACGGGCATACGCCATACAGTGTGCTATGAGGGAAATTTTGCCCGGGCAGCGGCACTATCGCCTACTCTTATATCGAATTCCAACTGTGATGGGATCTTTTACGTGCACGCCAATGTATACACAGGTCATCAGTTTTTCATCCCATCTGAATGACTAGACAGCTGTCCTTATCACTGACAAGGGAGAAACCATGTTGGAAAAGTATTCAACCATGCACCACCGACAAGGGAGAAATCACAGGCTGCAACATCCTGATAAATTGTCTTGGCCAAAATTGGGATCGAACCTGTGATCTAATGGTTATTGACCATGCGCCATATCCATGATGAACGTCCTTACCCAGCATCGGGAAATGAAATGAAATGGGTTTAACGTCCTACTGTTCTGCTCTGACTGGGCTAATGAAGCTGGGCATACGCCATACAGTGTGCTATGAGGGAAATTTTGCCTGGGGAGCGACACTATGGCCTACTCTTATATCAAATTCTAACTTCCAAGGAATCTTTTATGTGCATGCCAATGTATACATGGGACCTCAATTTTTCGTCACAACCGTCCTTGTCAGTATCAGGATGGAACCTGCGATCATCTTGTTAGTGACCACACGCCATATCAACAACTGGTTTCCATGGGAGTATAAAAATATAATTACCTGATATGAACGTTTTAACGATGCCATTAATCCACTCATCTGACCTAATACAGTAAAATCGTGTAATATTTCACTGAGATCTGCGTACAGATGAAACGGATCTTCTTCCGCTCTTTCTATCTGAGTTGTCCAGATGCTGAATTTACCAGGATGTGCTGCTACAGTTGTCTCCATATCCGGAGTGATAGCGCTATCCTTTAAATCAACATCCGATAAATTTATCAACCATTTTAATTTAAATTTCTCTTGTTTAATGCCATCTATTTCTCTGGATAAAAATAGAAATTAAAATGAGGTAAAATATCGTTATTTTTTAATGTTTTATATTGCGTGCTTATAATCATATATTTTCTATTGTAGAAGCATTACAGCTTGCATTTACGGCACAATACAAGTTTCATAAATTATTATTATAAATTCTGATACCAAGCAGATGGCAAAGAAATGAAATGATATGAGGTTTATTTCTGCCATGTACATGTAGTGTGCTAGAAGGGTAATTTTGTCTGGACAGTGATGGTCAAGAGTACATATTGGGATGACCTAGTGTTCTAGTGTGTCGCTGGTCAGTCACCTCTTGCTTTTGGTCATGGTTTCGATCCCTGGTGTGAGTGTTAAGTAGATTAATAATATTCTTTATTCAATCATCAGTATCAACTTTATTCCACCTTCATATCACCTTCACTCCTATACACACACTGCTCATCATGCTTCACTCCTCACCTCACCTGTGTATTCAAAGCACACATCTGGATTGAAATGCACTCCCTCTCACTGTACCTCACACACCACTAGCAGACGACATAGTTAACAGTGAGCGTATGTGGCTTGGAGATCAGGTACTCCGGTTTCCTCCCAAGGGAAAGACCCCTGTGTGTGCGCTAAGCATAACAAAACTTGTCTGCAATACCACACTAATACAGGAAAAAGAAGTCTGATTGGCAAATAGTGCATACTAGGATGTTATTTCTCCTTTAAATTCATTTCCTTTTAAATCATAAACAATTGTAAAAGATTCAATTTGTCAGTATTAATAATATAGAAATAGTGACATACTTAGAGCCAACTTTTATACATAATAACGTATCATCCATTAATATCAAACGTCTAACTTTAACTCTCATCTGACCAGAAGAATCACTAACCTGTAAAATAAAACATTATTAAAAGTTAGTTGATTCACTGAGGAATTATAGGGATTGGATGGCTGAATGGTTAGCGCGCGTTGCATTATAAGGTCTGTCATTGAGTCAAGTGGTGTGGTTTGGGATTCCCCGCTTGTATGTGACAAGGATCAAGGCTTGCTTGTCAAACCTTGTGGGTTTTCTCTGGGTCCTCTGGTTTCCTCCCACTGCTAAAGACTCCTAAGCGCAAACAAGTTATTGGAGTAAGATTGAACTATATGTTAGTCCTGAAATGACCCGAGTTTTTGTTGACTAGACATTAAACCCATTCTATATCTTTTTTTTTTTCCGCAACAGATTTGAACAGTTTTCCAACAATAGCCTGAATCTTAACATTGAATACAGAAACTCCTGCTAATATAACACAACTACATGATACCTAAGTTGTAAAGTTAAAACAAATGCAGAGATTGAGCGACTCTAATGAAAAATTTAAGCGATATCAAATAGGTGTATATCGATATTGTAGCCAAAAATATTTAACATTTTTCATGGAATTATTTCTTTCCGATTGTTGACGGTCTAAAAGACAAAAAACTAAAGAAAATAATTTTCAACTAATGAGAATCCAAGAAATTTCCATTATGCGCTTCTATTATACTTACCACTTGTTCAAAATCATTTTGTCGAATTAATCTCCGTGTTTTATCAGGTAAATATCGTGGTGGGACTTGTTTCGTAATCTGGCGTAACAACTGATTGGTAATCTGTTTGGCTAAAAACGTCTGTTCACTATGTCGCTTTCTTTCGTTTAATCGGTGAGTGACATTTTCTAATTCTGTTAAAGCTAATTGTAAAGCTCCTCTATCGTGGTGATCCTTTGGTGTGTATTTAACTAAATCCTAAACAATAAACAAAATAAATAAATTCAACTAAATCCTAAACAAAATATAATGTAAATGAATTCAACTAAATGAAATGAAATGAAATGAAATGGGGTTTAATGTCCTACTGTTCTGTGCACATGACAAGCCCAAAATCAACCCTTTAGACCATTGGATGCTTGTGATTTTGAACGGACTGGGGTAATGGTAATATATGACCACATATCAAATGAAAATGAAATAGTTAATTTACCTGTAGGAACATTATAAACTGTGGAAATCTCTGTACAGGTTTCACCATTAAACCAAATATAGATAATCTATCTCTACTTGTACTTTCCTTTAACTATATAATAAACAAAACAACCATTTTATATCATTCCATATTACTTATATATCATTTTATATCAATTATATCATTTATATATCATTTTATATCATTCCATATTACTTATATATCATTTCATATCATTTTATATCACTTTATCATTCATATCAGTTATATCATTTTATATCACTTTATCATTCATATCAGTTATATCAGTTATATATCATTTTATATCAGTTATATATCATTTTATATCAATTATATCATTTATATATCATTTCATATCAATTATATCATTTATATATCAATTTATATCATTTATATATCATTTTATATCTTTTATATATCATTTATATATCATTTTATATCATTTCATTTCATATCATTTTATATCAATTATATCATTTTATATCATTTTTATATCATTTGTATCAATTTATATCATTTATATATCATTCATATATAATTTCATTTCATATCATTTTATATCAATTATATCATTTATCATTCATTTATCATTCATATATCATTTTATATCATTTCATATGATTTCATACCATTTTCTTTTCATTTTAGCTTAAAGTCAATTATAAAATCGCTACTTTTTTCTTACCTTCAAAAAATCTCTAAAATTCTGTCGAGATCTCTGTAAAGATTTTATTTCTTCCATGGCAACCGCAAAATTATTTACATACACACTATAGGCATCAACCAACATGGACTTAGAAAACTACAATAAATAATAATAAAACTTACTATTACATAGGTTGAAAGAAATAAAGAAAGATTGAAAGAGAGAAAGAGAGAGAGAGAGAGAGAGAGAGAGAGAGGTTTAAGGTCCATTGACACAAAGTAGGACATTTCGGGACTAACATATATGGTCTAATCTTATTTCAATAATTCGCTTGAGCATAAGGGTCTTTTAGCAGTTGCAGGAAACCGGAGGGCATAGAGAAAACCCATGAAGTTGGACAGGCGACCCTACTCCTTGTCACATACAACCGGGGAATTGAAACCATGCCACTAACTCAATGACTGACCTTCTGGTCCAATTCACACGGGTTAACCATTTGGCCTCCGAACACCACAAATTTGATTATAGATTTAATCCTAAATGCTAGACTCTGTTCCTAGTCCTTTTAAAATTTGTTTTTTAGTTAAAACAATTTTAACCTACCGAAGCTGTAAAAATATCTCCCATTTTTTCATCTTCATCCCATTTTTTCACGCGATCAGCCATTTCTATTTGGAACATTTGATGATGACTTAATATTTCTCTTGATTCTTTAAATACTGTTCTAGTATGAGTTTTAACACCACCAATATGATCTAACACAGTACTCTCATACCCCTGTAATAATTTAAATATCTCGTTAATTTACCAAAAATAAAACGTCCACTCAAAACTAACTAGGTCATTTTGGGACTAACACATGATTGAATTTTTTATTTCAATAATTTGCTTGCACGTGGGAGGAAACTGGAGATTGGACAGGCGACCCTACTCCTTGTCATGTACAACCGAGGATTTGAAACCACGCCAGATGACTCAATGACAGACCTTATGATATACCACGGAAGTGCTAACCATTCAGCCATCCAATACCCCTCACCCGAAAAATAAAACCTATTTGGTGAAATGAAATGAAATGTGGTTTAACATCCTGCTGTTCTGCTCCTAATGCACAAAAGAAAACGGGCATACATCATACAGGGTGCTGCAAAGGAAATTTTGCAAGGACAGCAGCATTATAGCCTACTTTTATATCGAATTCCAAATGCCAAGGGATCTTTTACATGCACACCGATGTGCATACAGCACCTTGGAGAACCGAAACCACGCCACCTGACACAATGACAGATCATAAGATCTATACCATTTGGCCACCCAACCCCCGACTCCCGGATTTACTTACTCGATTGATCCTCTCTAGAGAACTGATATACATCTCTCCAGATGATGGTATGATTTACTTACTCTGATGATTCTCTCTAGAGAACTGATATATGACACTCCAGATGATGGTATGATATACTTACTCTAATGATCCTCTCTAGAGAACTGATATATAACACTACACATGATGGTATGATATACTTACTCTAATGATCCTCTCTAGAGAACTGATATATGACACTCCAGATGATGGTATGATATACTTACTCTAATGATCCTCTCTAGAGAACTGATATATGACACTACAGATGATGGTATGATATACTTACTCTAATGATCCTCTCTAGAGAACTGATATATGACACTCCAGATGATGGTATGATATACTTACTCTAATGATCCTCTCTAGAGAACTGATATATGACACTACAGATGATGGTATGATATACTTACTCTGATGGTTCTCTCTAGAGAACTGATATATAACACTCCAGATGATGGTATGATATACTTACTCTAATGATCCTCTCTAGAGAACTGATATATAACACTCCAGATGATGGTATGATATACTTACTCTAATGATCCTCTCTAGAGAACTGATATATAACACTCCAGATGATGGCATGATATACTGTACTTACTCTAATGATCCTCTCTAGAGAACTGATGTATGATTTCTCACTAGATATAATCTGTTCAATAACACATCGTCTTTTTTTCTGTAAACAAACAATAATTAGAACTATGGAACAACATTACAACTGAATTATAACTGGTGTCACTTCCAGTATAAATGGAACCGTTAAACAGATTTCCACATGTCATTACACACATGTTATAAAATGGACACAGAATTAACAAATAAATCCAGCAATATCAGTTCCATTTATAGAACAAAGACTCGGCACAATGACATCACTTCCATTATCGACAAAATATTTAAATTGGATTACAGAAATAGCCACTTCTTTGTCCTTTGCATGAGAGAAAATTCATTAAAAATTGAACAGAATTAACCCTTTATAAAACATTGGGTACATTTTATCTTACTTGATTTTCTGTGAGACCATCTGGTAAGGGAGGTAACTCTGGTGGTGGATGTTTACCTGGATCCATATTTACAGGAAAACATCGAGCATCGTCATCTTCTTCTTCATCTTTTTTACCTCGAAAACTTTTAATTCTACTGATTAACCCAGGTGCCTGAAACATTTCATTAATTTTCAATGATCTGAAGAAATGAAATGGGTGGTTTAACATCCTACTTTTCTGAACCAAATGGGCTAATGAAGACGGACATACAACACACAGTACAGTGGGCTATGAGGGAAATTTTGCCTGGACATCGGCACGACAGTCAAGATTTTTTTTACGTGCATGTGCTTACCAATGTGTACACAGGACCTCATGTTTTGCGTCATATCCAAAAGACTAGCCACCCACCTTGCCAGGCCCTCGGTTGGGAAATCCCGAGTAAAAAACATCTGCAATAGGAAGATTTAGCTATTCCATAATGCCACTTTAAAGATATGTGCTTATTACAACTATGAATAAATTATCCGAAGAACCTCATGCTACTGAGGATCAAATAAATAGATTGGCTCAATTAAAAACAATGTTTCAGTTTAAAGTTTTCCAAGCAGAAACATACATGCGTATTCAGCAGTATTATAGTTTGTTAATATATCTATTGCTTTTGAGGTCAAAACAATTTAAATTTCAGTTCTCTGGGGTGTTGATTATTAATAACCACTCTAGCCTTGTGAATGGTGTTTTTATAAATTTACTTTTACTTTTTGTATCTGGATTTGTTTTGTTTCCAGAAAAATTCAAATTAGTGTAGCATGATGGTAAACATTTTATTTTCAACTTACGCCTGCTTCGTGTTTGGGTTTAGGCTTCATGGGTAAGGGTTTATGTGGACCTTGTTCATCTACTACGTCATCTTCTGAATAATCTTCAAACTCGGACGAACCCCATCCATCTAGTTCATCATCACTAGCTAATATAAGTTCTTCATAGATATCACCTTTTAAAACAAACAATACCATGTGTCTTTACATAAAAATTTATAACATTTGGAAATTTCAAAAGACTAGGCAAATTTATTAATGAAAATAGTCGACAGCCATACTAAGCTGGCTGGATACACTGGCTGTCGTCCGTTCACTGAAGTTCAGCAATGTCGAGCAAGGTTACTACTTGGACAATCAGATTAAAATACAGATCTATATTTTGTTCCGTTTTTTTTATACTTTTGATGGCCTCTACTACATGAAGGTCGCGTCAGGGGTCATACAAGCGGCTTTTGACCCTATGGCATCAGACATTTGATTAACCAATCAGCGTTTCTAGTGGGTTATCCACAGTTCCCTGCACCGCACGCCATAAACTCGCCACAACAGACCATTTCATTGGCTAATCCCTCACATCATCCAGAACGCTGGTTATATAACAACTCTTCCAGGTCCTAGTGTAGTGAAGACAAGTAAAACGAAATTTTGAACTATAAATAACGAAAAGAAATATAGATCTGTATTTTAATCAGATTGTGAGATATTTATACTTACTATCATCATACACCATATCGTGAGATCCACTATTGTTAAGGAAACTAATTGTTCCTACTGTTGAACTCTTCTTAACACGACGTCTACGACTTTTTCTTCTATCTAAAATTAAAAACCAATGGAATAAAACTTCAGTCATTTTGAAGCAAAGAAATGATTATTTTTATTACTAGAATTACGTGCGCATTGTGTAATGTATAATGGTAGACCGGACCGTGGATCTACACTGTGTAATGTATAATGGTAGATCGGACCCGACCATGGATCTACACTGTGTAATGTATAATGGTAGACCCGACCCGACCGTGGATGTACACTGTAATGTATAATGGAAGACCGGACCCGACCGTGGATCTACACTGTGTAATGTATAATGGTAGATCAGACCCGACCGTGGATTTACACTGTGTAATGTATAATGGAAGACCGGACCCGACCGTGGATGTACACTGTGTAATGTATAATGGAAGACCGGACCCGACCGTGGATCTACACTGTGTAATGTATAATAGTAGTCTAGACCCGACCATGAATCTACATTGAATTCCAACTGTTTAGGCAGAAAGCAGATGAAGACGGGCATACGCTATACAGTGTACCATGAGGGAAATTTTACCCAGACAGCAAGCTCTAAAGAATACTGTCAAATCAAATTCTAACTGTCAAGGAATCTTTTATGAGCACAAAAGATTGTCCCATCCGAATGACTATATATTTTCCCTTACCAGGCCCTCCGTACCCCGATTAACTTTTGGGATGGTAGATGGCGCGCTATATCATACGGCTTGTCATTGAGTCAACTGGCGTGGTTTCGAATCCCCGGTTGTACGTGACAAGGAGTAGGGTCGCCTGTCCAACCTCGTGGGTTTTCTCTGGGTCCTCCGGTTTCCTCCCACTGCTAAGACCCCTACGCGCAAACGAATTATGTAAATAAAATTAAACCATATGTTAGTCCCGAAATGACCTAGTTTGTGTGTCGAGAGAGAGAAATGGGGTTTAACGTCCACTCGACACAAACTAGGTCATTTCGGGACTAACACATGGTTTAATTTTATTTCAATAATTCGCTTGCGCGTAGGGGTCTTTAGCAGTGGGAGGAAACCCACGAGGTTGGACAGGCGACCTTACTCCTTCTCAAGTACAACCGGGGATTCGAAACCACGCCAGTTGACTCAATGACAGACTTTATGATACAGCGCACACGCTAACCATTCAGCAATCCAACTCCCTGAAAATTTCGAAGATCACATAGAGTTTAAAGATAATAATAACGAAAATACCTGTACAACTTCTAGTACTGAGTTCTAACGGACTTGTTTCATGTCTCTTTGATTCTACAGAGTGATCGTAACTATGTAACAGATTATCCAGTACAGCAGTTTTTAGATGATCGTATTCATTATTTTCATCATCCACGGGCATGACCGACACAGGCATGCCATGTCCCTGTTTACAGCCTATTAATGGGGTGCTAGGAGGGGTATCGTAGATTTTCTCAGTTGTATACAGATCAAAGTTACTACACGATTCTTCTACCACATTTTCTGGCGGAGCAACTTCAGATGCTTCTGTTTTACCATCTGTTTCTGCTTCTTGTCCTGGGTGCGAAACCTCTGCAGCTTTCGACACGGACATATCTCCGGCAAGCTCGTACTCCAATCTTATTTTCAAATCTTCTGACGCCTTGTTTAATGGCCCAGCTTTTTTATCAAGCGAACCCGTTTCATGATTTTTTCTTTCGAATGTTGCCATAAGTTTATTAACAGTGCCGTCTGCTACCTTAGATCTCCGAAGTGTTTTGCTGCTTTTAATGTCTAGTTCACCGGGAGAATCTTTCTCCAACACATGATAATTGGGCCCTCGTTGCTCTGGCGACTCACCAGTCTGAAACTGGAATCTTTTCAGGCTATTTTTCGCAGATTCTGGAGAATCTGAAAGAAACAAAACAAGAGTGGTATGAATTATTTGGGAATTTCCCCACAATTTTTATACATGGCCTAGCCTCACCAATCACCCACCTAACAATTTTTATGTGTGGTCTAGGGTTTTTTTTTTTTCCGTAAATTAGTGTTGTTTTTCGGTATTTTAGGATTTTTCAGTTTTTTACAGCAATTAGTAGCAAACATATTTTTTTTCAGTATTTTTTGTTGTATTTTTCAGAACATCAGTCTAAAATAGTTGAATCTCAAAAAGGAACATCAGTCTAAAATAGATGAATCTCAAAAAGGAACATCAGTCTAAAATAGTTGAATCTCGAAAAGGAATCTCAGTCTAAAATAGTTGAGTCTCAAAAAGGAACAACAGTCTAAAATAGTTGCGTATCAAAAAGGAACATCAGTCTAAAATAGTTGAATCGAGTTGAATCTCAAAAAGGAACATCAGTCTAAAATAGATGGGTCTCAAAAAGGAACATCAGTCTAAAATAGCCGAGTCTCAAAAAGGAACATCAGTCTAAAATAGTTGAGTCTCAAAAAGGAATCTCAGTCTAAAATAGTCGAGTCTCAAAAGGAAACATCAGTCTAAAATAGTTGAATCTCAAAAAGGAACATCAGTCTAAAATAGTTGAGTCTCAAAAAGGAACATCAGCCTAAAATAGTTCAATTCCATTCACTACATGTATTTACAAAGATACATCTTCTGAAGACAAGCCAACACCAAAAGCTTTTTGCTAATATCTTTTGATGCGCCTATTTGGGTCTGTTAATCTTATTGCCAATGACTTCATTGGTCTTTTTTTAGTATAGTTTATTAATTGATCCATGAGCACAATACATGTAATCATTATCAAAGCATAACTTAAGGTCAATAATCGTCATGTGTTGGACTATTTATGTGGTATTGCACATAATATTCTCCTGTGATAACTTTATGTCAGTGAGTGCTATTATAGATAGTCAGTCAGTTACTTAGTGAGTGCAAAGTAAACTGAACCTGTGTGATAATAATAAAGAACATTTAATTATTAAGTATTGGTTATTTTTAACAAAATGGCCAGAAAACAAATAATATCATCGACAGTTGTCCCGCCGGCAGTTTACTTGCCAGCAGCTGTACTCGCGGTCATTTGTCCTGTCGGCAGTTGTCCCGCTGGCAATTGTCCTGTTCCCACCTTTATCTAATCCAACAATCTACCTTTGATAATTTGATGTTATATTCTTACCAGGTAATTAGATTTAAATAATACCTTTAAGTATATTTTAACATAGATCAAGTAATTAGATTTCATCTGGAAAAAGTAAATTATGATCAGAGACCTAAAAGCCAGTATTAGATAAAAGTTTGTACATTTTAATCATATTCAAAACAATTAGTAGAAACAGCATTGAATTATAATGCACGAGGACCCTGGTGCACTTACATAAAACACTTACATAAAATGGGGTCGATGCCCAGCCCCACTCTCAAAAATAGATTTTATCAAAACTTAAATTAAAGCTGAGTTATAGAAAGAATATGATTGATTTTCTATTGATCTGAACTATAGAAAGAATACGATCGATTATGTATTGATTATGTATTGATCTGAATACGCAGATTAAACAGAATAGTACAATCTCAAATCACTGAAAGCTCCATGCTTAGCATTGTATATCTAATAGTTCTTCCCATTGGCGTCCACGTAAAAGATCCCTTGGCAGTTGGAATTTGATATAAGAGTAGGCCATAGTGCCGCTGCCCAGGCAAAATTTCCCTCATAGCACACTGTATGGCATATGCCTGTCTTCATTAGCCCAGTTCGGAGCAGAACAGTAGGACAATAAACCCCATTTCATTTCATTTCTGACAGTTATTCAAGCAACTTCAATCATTTGTTTAGGCACCTTCACTGCACTAAAAGAATCAATGAAATCTGTCTAATTATTGAATGCACCATATGTAATCCACTACAGACTAGAAAATAAAGCCACCGAAAGGTATATCTCTTGCCTCTACTATAATACAAAAACTACGATCTGCCATCTTTCTAATTTGTAAAAGATCCAAAGAAAAAAAAGATGTCCATGTTGACACCCAATTCACTACAAGCATGACCTCTTGTCTTTGATCACTGATGTTAAGCCAGAAAAACAACTCGTCTTTTTACTATATTAGGTTTTCTTTAAACCAAGACTTTATTTACATACCTTGAGAAAACAGATTCCTACCACAATGTCTGCCTTTAATTCAAACAGGGTTTTTTGTAAGGGTTTCATCACTTTCTTTTTAATAGTTGTCATTTTAGTTTTTTAGATATTGAATGTTTATCAAATCAGAGGGAGAGAGAGAGAGAGAGAGAGAGAGATATTACATCCACACCACTGGACACAACCAGGTCATTTCAGGACTAACTTAAAGGAGTTAAATTGCTAATATTTGGGACCTAGAAATTGACCACAATGGGTCGCAACGCATACAATAATGTAATCTGATTGTATATAAACTGATTTACATTCACTTGTTTCAGTTTTGACTCTTATTTTCAAATCAATTATGTCCAGAGAAATACGGCATGAGTCTCAACCGAATAGCAATTTTTAGCATCTGGTTATTCCAGTCTATTGTGCATGCTCTCCATATAAGATATAGCGTCACCGTTTGACATGAGTTGTGGCATATTCGTTCTGGTCACTTGTTACAAATGACGCTGAAACTCACTATGGTACACGGATCGTACCAATGGTAAAATGTTTATTTTGTCTCAAATATTGGATATCAGAAGCCCATCACAACATAAGTGTTGATTTAAATGGACAAATAATTCATGTTTTCAACGTATAAGACTTTGGATGATATTGAGTTAGAGACTAAGCTACTTTAAGGTTCAGTTTAATTTCAATTATTCGTTGCATGCACATGTAGGGGTCTTTGGTGATATCAGTCCAACAATATACAAAGAAATGAAATGAAATGAAATGGGGTTTAACCTCATACTGTTCTGCACCGACTGGGCTAATGAAGATGGACATACGCCACACAGTGTGCTATGGGGTAAATTTTGCCCTGGCAGTGGCACTATGACCTACTCTTATATCGAATTCCAACTCCCGAGGGATCTTTGACGTGCACGCCAATATATACACAGGGCAATATACAAAGATAAATTGAAATATTGTCAACATTATACATCTACTGCTGATGATATACTTGCGTACAGAATAAAGTGATGAACACAAGCCACTGACACCTACATGTATGAGTTTAGCTGAATTTTTTTGATGGGCCTCTGTTTAAACTCATTAAATTCAAGATGGGAGATTGAGATATCTGTTGTAGATATTTATCATTTTATTTTTTAAATTAAATATTAAATAATCAATTTGGGAACATTTTAGCATGGATTATGCCGTGGAAAATTTGATATTTACAATGTACCAAAAAATGCAAATGAAGGACACAAAGCTTCTAAACCAAATGGGGGGGGGGGTTGCATGGCTGAATGGGTGGGGTGGGGGGTTGGATGGCTGAATGGTTAGCACAAGGCGCGCGCTGTATCATAAAGTCTGTCATTGAGTCAACTGGCGCGGTTTTGAATCCCCGGTTGTATGTGACAAGGAGTAGGGTCGCCTGTCCAACCTCATGGGTTTTCTCCAGGTCCTCCGGTTTCTTCCAACTGCTAAAGAACCCTACACGCAAGCGAATTATTGAAATAAAATTAAACCATATGTTAGTCCCGAAATGACCGAGTTTGTGTCGAGTGGACGTTAAACCCCATTTCTCTCTCTCTCTCTCTCTCTCTAAACCAAATTATATCGAGCTTCACATAACACTTGGAAATAACAATAATTTATGTCTGATATAATCTTTGAATGGCATTTAGCGATTGAACATAATATAACACAACACATTTCTATATTATGTTCAACGGAATCACGGTGGCTAAGTGGGTAAGACGCTGGCTCGCTAGCCTGCAGGTCGGGTATTCGATCCCTACATTGGCCGAGAAAGTTCATCCAGATTTTCCGGCATGGTTCTCCCTTGTCAGTGATGCAGGGCGGAGGGCTATACAAGGACAGCTGTCTAGTCGTTTGGATGGGATGAAAAACCGAGGTCCCGTGTAGACATTGGCGTGCACGTAAAGCATCTCTTGACAGTTGGAATTCGATATAAGAGTAGGCCATAGTGCCGCTGTCTGGGCAAAATTTCCCTCATAGCACACTGTATGGCGTATGCCCGTCTTCATTAGCCCAGTATAGGAGCAGAACAGTGGGACGTTAAACCCCATTTCATTTCATTTCTATTATGTTCAATCACTAAATGCTATTTAAAGATTATATCAGACATCAGTATGGCGACGTGTCAGTTAAATTAGTGTGTATATAATATAGTGATTGTTATCCATAGAACTGTGTTAAACAATTATTTAATTATGACCAAAATCAACAATGTTTACTGGTAACTATTTTTAAGCTTATATTAAAGGGGCATTAGATAAAATTATATAAAAAGCTGGTAGTTCTCACTATAACAGTTAAAAACTACCTAATGTAAAGAGAATATGCTGAAAATTTCTCCACTTTGATACCAAGATATTAGCATTTTAATTTAGGCCTAGCCTCGATCATCATTTTGGGATTAAATCATCAATGGGCGTTGAGTAGCAAATCGGATTTAAATCCAGAAAAAATCCGACACATAAGATGGCATTGGGAGTTGATTAAGGTCTTTTCATGTTAATAAATGTCTAATTATTAGTTTATATAACATTTCAGACCTAAAGAAAACCCTGCAATAGCCAGAGTAAGCTCTTGAAAAATTTATGTTCTCCAATAATTCCTCGACTATTCAAATATTTCCACTTTGAGAAAAATAGTTTCATCAATAACTTATGAGATAACATTTCCACAAATTTCCTAAGTACCCACCCACCAGAAATGAATACTATGTCAGTGATACTAAACTAGAGGAAATAAATAAATGAATACATGTACAGTGGATGGGATAGATACAATAT